CACACACACACACACACACACACACACACACACACACACACACGCACACAAAAACAAACAAACAAAACAAATCCTCAACCTTCACACAGTTCCCATTTATAAATATGATTGATTTTTCTGGGAGGCTTTGTTGCCTAGCACTCTGAACTAAACACGAGAGATTAATTCCAGGCGTGTTGCAAAGTTTTCATTCCAACATCAATCAGCTTGTCAAAACATTACAAGAATCAGGAGTTAAATCGTAACGTGAAACTGCTGATTCAGTCAAATGTAACTGCTTTGCTTTTGTTCTATTTTCCTGATGATTGAGGAAAACGAGCAGCGGTTGGCAGCTTTTGACGCCCGTGACAACACTGTAGTTTTATACTGAAGCAAAAGAGCAGCGGGTGAATTTTAGAGATTGACGCGTCCACGTTTCTGTATCTGCAGCTGAGCCACATAAACAGGCCGCAATCTAATATGGAGAGATTTTAAATAACATTTCTAAAATGATCTGGTTTTATAGGCAGCACTCAGTTTTATTGTAACAGGATGCAGCAACGGGGCATACTATACTTTAGGGTCATTATACACCAGCTTTCACACCCTGGGGACAAAATGAGATAAAGCAACATTACATTAACCCATCCTTTAAAGTTTTTTTTACTGCTCTTGACATCTAAACAGGGAGTCTTATAGTAGCTGAAGTGAGAGCGTAGACATAGCAGTTAATATCTGTGTTTCTAAATTTCTGTGGAAGATTGTTGAAGCACTTCCTTGAATGTTTTTATGAGTATAACAGCTAAACCGAAAGCTTCAGCTTAGATGTGATTAAAGCAGATTATTTAAAATCTTTATTTTCCAGCAGTTAGGTGTGTCGATTCGTCAGCTCTGGCAAAGGTAAAACACTGCCCAACATCTCCACCGCTGCCAAATGAAATGAAACAAAAAAGTAATTTACACAATTTGACTGTTTTCACAGATTGCCTTATTGCCAAGGCTTCTGCCCACAGTGACCCACTCAAGTGCATCTTTCAGGTAATGGCGTGTCGACGTGTGTGAGGACGGGGCGAGGTGGAGAAGGTCTGAGCGGAGGGCGAGGCAGCATCGGCTGCATCTTCCCTCCCCCCCGTCTGCCTCTTCCAGACGCCCCTTGTCTCCTGAGCTCATCAGTGTTGTGTTTGTGCAGTTGTGTGTTGTTGTGGATCACGTGCAGGGCGGGGTAACGGGCGTGGGGGCGGGGCGGGGCCAAGGTCACTGTCGCCGATCCTCCGTCTCTGACCGGGAGAACGCCATCACCACATCCTCTGCACCTAGGATGCAAGAGGAGAATGAAGAAATGTGTTTATTTCTCCAACAGCGGAGCAAAAACCATCATAACTATGGATCGGACCACACTGGAGCGTTTCCTTTAAAACACATCGATTTATGATTTCACTCTCAGCAAAAACAGATTTAATGCCTAATACCCTCTCCCGTTATTTTATGAAATAAAATGTCTTTGAACGTGCTGCAGAGAGATTAAATTAAATGACAGGAAAACAGAAGTGACAAAAGCTCTCATCACAAAATCCTTTCAAGCCAGGCCCAAGATGACTTGTTTTTGTTAAAACAGAGGCTGTGGACTCGTTGCAGGATGTGACTGGCCCAATTGACACATTTGTGAACAGTCAGGGGTAATTATCTGTCAGATAAATGTATGCAAAATTCTGCTGGGCCCCACAGACCTGTATGATTGAAGAAGTAGACTTTTAAAGTCTTTTCAAATGAAACCACTCAAAGCCAGTGATGGTGCATCTGAATACACACCACTCTTCTTTTCACTCCAGTCCAGTTCCTGGATACAGTCTGCTTTCAGCTGTTTTCTTATTGGATCATGCTAAAATTCTAGTTCAAGGTACGAAAGAAGCCACGTTTTCTCCTGTATCCCATCCAGTCTGTTCTAAATATGAGCCAAGGAGGGAAGACCCAGTTCTGAAAATGCATTTTTGTGGATGCAGGTAACTTCGTCTCTTGAAGACTTCGCCAGTTGGAAAAAAAAAAAAGCTTCTGGCTGCCGTCACAGAGCCCTGACAGGAGACACGGTAACACTGAGTGGCCTGCTGACAGCAGCATCCTGCTCTGTCATGATAAAACTCTGATCTGAAGCTTCGGTGCCATTCAAACCTCTTCTGCAGTGGCAGCTGAGGATGTGAGGAGGACGACTATCAGTGACTACACAATACAGGGTTACAGATAATATTAACCTCACTGAGAAATACAACTGTAAGAATTATTGCTAGAAAACACTACAGTTACCCATCAAATATATTATTTTATCAGTTGGCTGATTATAACATTTTACAGGTTATGTATAAGGCTCCCAAATGTATATTACCTTTAAACAACCTATTCAATTTTGTTGAGAGAAAGTTGTTATAAACTGAAAAGGGTGGAGATGTTTGTGAAACCTGGATTTCGAACTAGTTTGAGGGAGCGGTGTACTTCGATACAAGGAATAAGACTAGGGAACAATCTGGAGCGTGATGTCAAAAAATGCCAGATCAATATTTATGTTTACGAGAATGATAAAAGTCACTTTGTTAAAGAAATATGAAACAATATAATGTGTATTCATATGAAATGTTGTTCAACAAGGATTTGAAGTTGTTTTTTTTTAGTTTTTGTTTTTAGATCATTGTTTACAATTTATTTTTGAGAAGAAAAAGGAGCAGATACTATAAGATTTTTTTCTTTTTTCTGCCGCTTTTCATTTTATTTGTGATTTGTATTTTTATTGTACATGTTGTAAGGATTACAGCTCTGATTTTGAGTTTTCAACCTTTGGCTACTGTGGAGCACAGAGGGCCGGGATGTTAGCCGCTTTCTGAGTCTCAGCTGTCAGCACCGTATCCATGCCCAATATGCTTTTCACAGCAACTTTGAAGTGCTTGTTGGATTTAATTATTGGAGATATGAAGGCAGGCCAGAGAATTCACATGCGTTTAACACAAAGGGAGCTTGTTTTGGAAAACGTAGACCCAACATGAAACATTTGATAAATGTATAAATTGCTGTTGTTTTAAAATTACTCGATGAAAAATACTTAAAGCTGTCATCGCTGAATTTGGGGTAGGTTGGAGCTTTGTAAAATCAATTAATGTTGGGGAGGAGGATGCTTCTTCCCATGGGTGAACACATGATTATTGAATAGGGGTGTAAGAAAATATTGATACACTGAAATATCGCAATATTTCTTTTCCTGATACTGTATTGATATTCTAAAGCCCTGTATCGATTTTTTTTTTTAGGTTTAAAATGTCAACTTTCCTGCCAGTCGTTCATTTTTATGTTGTAGTTCAGCCTCTGACCACTAGTTGGCAGCAGTGAGCCAGCCACTTGGCTCCTCTACCTCTTGAGGTAGAGGCTATTGTTAAG